AGACCATCGGAAAACATATATATAATCACGTATTGTTTTTGTGATTAATCACTGTGCTTTAATTATGTTCAATTTGTAATAATGAAAATACATCCTGCATATCAGATATTTACATTACGATTCATAACAGTAGCAAAATTGCAGTTATGAAGTAGCAATGAAAATAATTTTATGGTTGGGTCACAACATGAGGAACTGTATTAAAGGGTCGGGGCATTAGGAAGGTTGAGAACCACTGGTCTAGAAACTTGATCTGAAATTTAAAAAAAAAAGGGGGGGGGCGGGGAGAAGCCCTGGCCCAGGAGCTCAGTTGGTTAGGGCACTGTCCCAATATGCCAAGATTGCAGTTTGATCCTGTCAGGTCACATACAAGAATCAACAAATGGCCCTGTCTGGTGGGGCTCAGTGGTTAGAGCAGGGGTGGGCAAACTTTTTGACTCAAGGGCCACAATGGGTTCTTAAACTGGACCAGAGGGCCGGAACAAAAGCATGGATGGAGTGTTTGTGTGAACTAATATAAATTCAAAGTAAACATCATTACATAAAAGGGTACGGTCTTTTATTTTTTAGTTTTATTCATTTCAAACAGGCCGGATCCGGCCCGCGGGCCGTAGTTTGCCCACTGCTGGGTTAGAGCGTTGGCAGAATACCAAAGGTTCATGGGTTCGATTTCTGATACCTGGTCAAGGGCACATAAAGATTACAGGTTCGATCGTCAGCCCCAGTCAGGGTGTGTGCCGGAGGCAACCAATGGATGTGTGTCTCTATCTCTAACATCTAAGTTTCTCTCTCTCTCTCTCTACCCATCCCTTCCTCCTTTCCAGTCTCCTTAATTACCAATGGAAAACATATCCTCGGGTGAGGATTAACAACAGCAACAATAACAACAAAAAATGAAGTATCACACAGGTGGCAAGAGGCACTGGGCAGATCGGAGCGGGTTTCACAACTCTCAGCGTCCGAGCTCAGTCAGCTCTATGCTGCTTATGAAATAAACGTGAAATTAAAGGTGACTATACCTGACATAGCCACAGAGTGTTAGTGACGAAAGGACCTGATTCATCCATGAACCAGGAAACTGAGGCTTCTGCGAACAAAATGACCAACTCTACCTGCTATCACCTTCTTAATCACAGAGGCAGGGCACCCACTCTCCCCACGACCAGCTCCGGGTCTCCCTGCCACACCACTCAATGACGTGACCGCTCGCAGGATTCATCACCACCCTACTTCTCAGCTGGTGAAGACTGACTCACAAACCATTCACCGTAACTTATGAATTTTAGGATATCTATAAAACTGATTTTTACAATGAAACTAAAGCATAGAAAATAATGTGCTCAAAGAGGTACATAGAACCACCAATAAAAAGAAATGAAAAGCAGATCAAGATGCCCTATTCAGTAAGATTATTCCACAGTAAAGTGTAATACATTTTTTAATACCAGTCAACTCTGACGTGATAGTTGAGCCAATACAACCACAATTTTCAAATCTGATTAAATCTATTGGGTTCAATGTTCCAAATATGGGTTGCATGTTTAAAAGCCCACTACCACAAAAACATTTACCATTAACACTTCCTCTTCGGCAAGAGTCTTAATTTTACTATTAGTGAACTGTGATACTGAAAACCAACTCAGGTAGAAGGTGACAGTAACACATGCTTCAGAAACACAGCTTGAGTCAACCTGAAAGCCCTGTCCCTGCGCTCCGCCAGCGAGAAGACAACAAACAGAGAGGAGTAAAGACATGACCCACTATGCACGGGCTCCGAGCTCCTTCCCCCTCTGCACGCTCATTGGGAACATGCACATTTTTGTACAGAAAACACTACTCGCGTCAAAACAAACCCTGCTTTGCCAGGAGGAGATAACTAACCACGGGCGGGGTAGAGGAAGCAGGCCTCCCTTACCGACTCTATGATTACTAAACTAGCAGAAACGACAAATCAGCACATGCTAGGGCACTGGGAAGGGAAAGGAGGCCTAGACACCACGCCAGAAGAAAGCCTAAGTTAAAGGTACATAATGAACAACATAAACTGAGCAAAAATAGATCCAAAGACAGAGAAGCATCAAACAGACTGTCAAACCTCAGAGGGAAGGCGGGGGGGGGGGGGGGGGGGGGGGGGGGGGGGATCAACCAAAGGACTTATATGCCTGCATATAAGCATTACCAATGGACACAGACACTAGGGGAAGTGAGGGCATGTGCTTGGGGGTGGGGGTGGCCGGGGAGAGGTCAATGGGGGGGAAAAGAAACATATGTAATACTATATGTAATACTTTAAACAATAAAGTTTTTTTTTAAAGTCAATGTCAAAAAAAAGGTATAGGACTGCATTCTGTTTTGTTTTTATGTCGAACTGAGAAAACTTTTTCTGTCGTTGTAAACATAGATGCTTACAGGTTATGCCATAATCCACTGATTTAGTCTAGGTCTTGATTAGATCAGAAGAGCTGAATCCGCATGCCAGGGCTACTTCATTCACTACTTACAAGGGGTGACAGAAATGATCTTCCTTGGAATACTAGGGAATAACAGGTGGTCCTGGTTTCAACCATTTGCTTTTAAAGCTAAACACAGTCAAGTTGCGAGGCTGTGGAAAAATAAAGTCTGACTTCAAAAAATGAAATCAACTTCTTCCACTCACACATTCTACCACAGGAGGAAAAGGCTTTCTGGTGAGTTTCGCATTCACCTACCTGCTCAGGTTCTGACAGAGAGAAAGAGAGAAATGCATTCAAAACTCAGGCAGGGCCTGCCTGTGACTCAGTGGCTGAGGGCACCAATAGGTCACGGGTTGGATTCCCCTTCAGGGCACAGGCCTGGGTTGCAGGCTCCATCCCCAGTGTGTGTGTGTGAGGAGGCAGCCCATCCATGTTACTCACTGAGGTTTCTCCCTCTCCCTTCCTCTCTCTCTAAAAATAAGTAAAAACATTAAAAAAAAAAAAAAAGAATAGGCAGGGAGAAAGAGAAGATAGTAACAGTCACAATCTCAATCCACACTATTCCTCACTTGTGTGTGTGGGGGGGGGGGGGGGGCGCCTGTCTTAAGTCTATTCCAAAATGGAAGTCATCTCTCCCTTAGACTTTAAATTATAGGAGAACACACCTAAAAAAACTCACCAGGAAACAGTAAAGTCCCACAATTCTCAGCACTAGGTAGGACTGTGTCCCACTGCTCAGACTGGCACAGCAGGGTTTGACTTTATTTCATACCAGTTCGATGCCTTTCTAGATTAAAACACACACAGAGCACAGGAAACCTGGACATGTTCCTCCCAAGACCCAACCCCGTGGCCGTAGGCGACCTGGCAGAAGGTCTACAATGTTTTCCTTCTTGGGTGGCGGGTCTCGGGCACTCTGACGCGAGGACAGCTCAACACAGTCCTATTCCACTCGCTGTTTCACAGGAGAGCACACTCTAAGGTTAGGCTCCTGGCAACGCAGAGCTGGACACCAGCACCGGGAGGATGTCAGCGATCGGATCCCTGCGGAGGCCATCACGGCGGCCCCTGCCTCAGTCACATCAAACATTTTAAATAGAGCTTCCAAACTTAGGGCCAGAGTGCACCCCACACTGACCAACTCGCTAACAGCCGAGCTTCCCGCTCCGCGTATGAAAACAAAGATGGACTTGACCTACAAGATGCAGGTCGGGTCAGCTGTCACCCAGAAGCAGAGGCTTCCCCTGGCGGCCGCGCGGAGGGGAGGCGTGCCCAGGCCCCCGGCCCCCGTCACTCGCGTCCCGAGAAGCGACCAAAAAAGGCAGGCGTGGGGGAGGGGAAGGACCGAAGCGCCAGCCGGAGTTTAAAGGAGTGCACGCCCGGCCGGACTCCCTGCACCCAGGAGGCTCGCACCCAGGGACCCACATGTGGGCGCGTGTGGGGAAGGTCACCCATTTCCCGGCCCCCAGCAGCGCGCTCAGGGACCCCCGCGCGTCCCCACTTCAGAGGGCACCCCGAGTTGAGCACCTCAATCGCCGCCCAGGAGCGGCGGCCGTTTTCAAGGGCGACACCCGCGCAATTCTCGGCAGCCTGGTCCCCAGGAAAAGCCTGCGGGCGCCCATCTCCTCCGGGAAGCCGCCGGGAAGCCGGCGGGCGGCCGACACGGCGACCCTCCGCTCGGGGCTCCCGGGGGCCCCGGGCTTCCCTGGGGAGGGAGGGAGCGGTGACAGCAGCGCGTCCTTTCAAACAGTTCGAGGCCGGCCTCGCTCGGAGCGGCCAGAGCCTCCTGCGTTAAAACCCTCCATTCCTTTGTCTGGTGGGGTTTTCCTGGAACCACTACAGTGGCTCCCGCGGAGCAGCCGCGCGAAGGGAGTGCTCGGGCCTGGGGTGCGGGGTTTCTCGGGTGCAAATCGCAGGTCAGGCTCGAGTCCTGGCAGGTCCTAGTCTCCCACAGCCCCTCCCTTTCCAGAAAGGATGGGGGCGGGGGCGCACACCGGCCGACAGGTCCCGGGACTGCGGCAGGGGCCTCTCGGGGGCGCGGGGCGACCGCCGCAGGAGAGGCCGCGGGCAGCACGCGCCGGGGCGCCGGGGCGCCGGGTCCGGGTCCGGGTCCGGCCGGAGGGATGCTAACTCTCCGGCACGGCCACCCTCCCGCCGGCCGAGGCGCAGCCCGTCGGGACCCGGCACGGCCGGGGGCCCCCAGGCCAGGGCTGTCCGACCGGGCGGCCTCGGGCCTCGGGGACACGCGGGGGGCGGCCGGGCACCCACGCCGGGCGGGCTCCCCGCCCCGTCGCGCCTGCTGTTCCCCCCGCGGACGGCAGGGCGCACACACAAAAAGAAAGTTGTCCAAGGGCTCCCCGCCCCCTCGGGCTCCCGGCCGGCCCGGGCGCTACTCACCGGGGTCGAAGTCGGGCACGGCCGCCTGGTACTGGGGTCCCACCCGCATGCCGCCGCCACCTGCGGGGAAGCAGAGCACCGGGTGAGCGGGCGCGGGGCGGCGCGGGGCGGGCGCGGGCGCGGGCGCGGGCGCGGGGCGGCGGCACCTACCGTGCTCCTCGTCGCTGGACGAGCCCGAGCTGCCTTCCTCCCAGGAGTTGCTGCTGCTGTTGCCATTGGGCGCCGCCGCCGCCAAACTTTTATTCTGCCCATTATTGGGGGCGGCGGCCGAGGCGGCCGAGGAGGCGGCGGCGGCGGCGGCGGCGGCGGAGACTGCGGCGGCCGAGGCGGCCGAGGCGGGGGCGGTCGAGGCGGCGGCGCTGGCCGCGTTGTTCCTCCCTCTCCGCTTCCCTGACACCTCGGGGCCCTTCTCCACCATGGTCGGCATCAGCGGGGGCCCGGGCCGCGCGAGAGTGACGGGGACCCCGGCTCCTGAGGAGGGGGCGCCGGAACGGGACGGGGGGTTCGGCGGGCGCGGGGCCGGGCGGGCGCGGCGGGGGCTGGGGGCGGCCCAGGCGGGCGGAGCGCGGGGCCGCTTCAAGCCCCCAGCGCCGAGCCGAGCGCAACTTTCGCTCTCATCACCGCCCGCACTTCACTGGCTCCAACTACTCCGGGAGCAGCGGGCGGGAGGGAGGGGAGGGGCGGGGCCTGGCCGCGAGGGGAAGCCGCGCGCAGCCCAACCCGATGCGGGGCGGCTCCGCCCCCGCGCGCTCCCATTGGCTCTCGTGGGATTTGGACGGTGAGCAGCCTCGCGGTTGGCTCGGCGCACCCGTCTATCCCAGGAGCGGGGCGGGAGGAGGGGCGGGGCTCGGGCTTCCGTTGGTCAGGTTCGGTTGACGCGTATCGCCCGCTGTACGTGGTTTTGAGGTTTGCAATCTCTCTACGCCCCATGATCCTTCTCTCCCGGCACAGCGAGGAGTTGGCTGCCTCCCCGCCCCCTCCCGCTGCCGGGGTGCCCACCCCCTCCCCTGCGCGCACCCCCGGCGGCCTCGGCCCCCACAGCCCCCGAGGGGCCCCTCCGAGGGTCCCATCGGCTTCAAAAAGTAAAATATGGGCGACACGAGAACAGAAATTGAATGGCAGGTCGGGACTACTTTCCCCCTCGCGCGGAGGAGTACATGTCACAGTTTGAATGGGTCTATACAAAGAGGAAACTAATTGAAAGAAACTAATTGCGCCCCCACTTTCCCCCAGGGACTCGGGGGTGCAGCAGGACCTGGGCAGCCCTGGTGCAGAGGGCGGGGTTCCCAGGTGACCGTCTCCAGAGGGGAAGGCGGCGGTGCGGCAGCGCGCGGGGTGCGTCCTGCTCCCCGGAGGGGGAGGTGGGAAGTCACCGTAATTGCCCGAGTTGCGGGGCGCCCGCCGCGGCGGGACGGGAGGGTCCCCGCGGTCCCGACGCCGCTTAGAGACCCGCGCAGGGCCCGACCTGCCGCGGGGAGGGCGCACTTGCAGAAATGGGGAGGGGACCTGAGACAGGGCTGGGGGCCCGGATGGGTAAAGAGGAAGAAGCTATTTTCATCCCCAGCCCTGGCTCGGGGAGGGTCAACTTCCTCCCGGGCCAGAGCCACTTTTCCGGATCTGCTGCCGGCCTGTCTCCCCTCCACCCCGGGCCCCCGCGGGGGGCGAGCACGACCCCGCCCTGGACGTCCCTGCCCCGGAGACTGACCCCCGGCGGCCGGCCGGCCGGGCGACTTTAGAGCCGCATGGTCGGTGTCACCCCCACCCCCACCCACGGGCTGTTCGTCCATAATTAGCAAGCGAGAGAAGGTCTATAATTGAATTTTTTAGATGCAGCGACGGCTTATTTCTCTTTTAAGTTACTTCAAACCTGAGCTTAATATGGGGACAGTTTACACCAGCTCAGGTTATAAATAGCCACAGGGAGAAATCTGGAGTTTTATGGTTTTACAGCCCAAATAAATACTGTGAGTGTGCGCTTCTCTGTTTTTTGCAGCATGAACCATGATTATTAACGTCAGTGAAGTGGCCGCGTTCGTTTCTGCTTCAATGGCTTTTGAGATAAAGGGCTGGGAGCCCTCCCTTCCCCAGGAAGACCCCTGCCCCATCTAGTGCAGAGTCCCTGGCCCTGGTCTGCCCTTCCAGGGGGAGCCCTCTCCCTGGAGAGCCCCAGGCAGTGCCAGGGTGAGTCCCTGGCACACTCCCTGCCAGCTGGCCTGGGTGGGCGTAGACAGCAAAGCCAAGGGAGAGGCACGGAGGTGGCATTCCCCAGGGGCTGGGCTGCCTGGCTCAGGGCTGACTTATCTGGAAGTGAGCACGGCTTGAGAAATGGGGTTAAGAGCATGATGCTCAGTAGGTTTCTGTGAAGTTCTACCACTAAACTCTGAAAAGATTGGCCTACAAGGCCACAAAGGTAACCCTGAGTCAGGGTAGGAAGTCACCAGCCCCACCCACCAACTCCAAGCTTGGGGCTGCTTGGCGTCTGGATTAGACTGTGGGTGCATCACTGGGCTGTCCCACCATTCACATTTCTCAACAAATACTTATTAACACCTAACAGACCCTGTATTAGTCTGTCTGATTCCCAAGGCCACTTGGATACTACATTGGCCTTGAACCTCTCAGCTTCCCCATCAATGAATCGGAATCGGGTAATAGTACATACTTCCTGGCCTGGCGGATGTCTACAGTTCACCTCCCAGCTCCTCATTCCTTCCCCCCTGGGAAGCCCTCCAACGGCTCCTGCCCCGCCTATTGCCTGGGTGGGTGGGGGTGGGGAACACACAACCTTTCTGATTGTGTTTGTGATAAACTTCAAGCTGTCATAGTCAGCAGCTCACCATGTTTTTCAGTGACACTGCCACTCTCTGAGCCTAAGATTTCACACCTTCTCCCCCTCCGTCCACCCCTCACAGCCCCTTCTGCCCTCACACCCAGCCCCGGACCTCACCTCCCTCTTCAGTGAGAAAAACTGAAGCCATCACATAGTATCCCTCTCACCTTCCAGTCCCCAAACCGACACTTCTCCCTGCCAGGCACCCACCTGCCCCATGGGCTCTCCTACCCTAATCTTGATCACAGAAACACTCCCCCTGTTGCCCTCCCCTTTATGCTCCCCTGGGCGATCAGCCTCCGTCCACCTGGTCAGTATTTTCAAAAAAAAGTGAGGGGCCGTAACCGGTTTGGCTCAGTGGATAGAGCGTCGGCCTGCGGACTGAAGGGTCCCAGGTTCGATTCCAGTCAAGGGCATGTACCTGGGTTGTGGGCACTTCCCCAGTGGGGGATGTGCAGGAGGCAGCTGATCGATGTTTCTCTCTCATCGATGTTTCTAACTCTATCTCTCTCCCTTCTCTCTGTAAAAAATCAATAAAATATATTTTTTAAAAAAAAGTGAGGGAAATTCTCCCTTGCTTCTGCATGTCCTCCTGCCTCCTCCCATTTCTCTACTCCCCACACAGAAAACGCCAAAGGTGTGTCTAACCGTGGAATACTATGCAGCAGTAAAAAAGGATCTCTTACCTTTGGGACAGCATGGAGGGCCCGGAGAGTATCACGCTAAGTGAAATAAGTCAGAAAGACAAGTGTCACATGATCTCACTCGTATGTGGAATCTAAGTAACAAAATAAACTGATGAACGGAGTGGACCCAGAGACATGGACGGAGGGAACAGAGTTCGGAATCTCAGAGGGAAGGTGGGGAGGGTGGGTGGGTGGGAGGTGATCAACCAAAGGCCTTGTGTGCACATATGCATGGCCCATGGACACAGACAGTGGGGTGGTGAGGGCCGGGGGCAGGGTGGGCTGGAGGGGCTTGATGGGGGGCAATGGGGGACATGTAACTTTCAACAATACTTTTTTAGAAAATGCGTCTATACCTGCCTTCTCCACTCCCTACCTTCCCAGCCTCTCCTCACCCCGCTCTCAACTCTTGTGAGGTCACCCACACCCTCCCTGCTGCCCAATCCAGCTGAGCCCACATTCCTCCCAGAAATCCCCTGGCTTCTCAGGGCCTCGTTCTCCCACCGCACAGAGCACCCCTCATCTCCCTTTGCTGCCTCCACCCCCTCTTCCACCCTGTGATTGCTGGGGTTCCTCCTGGACCCCCTGCTCTGTGCCTAGCACCTGTTAAATATTTGTTGAGAAATGAATGATAGGAAATTAATGTCAGGCTGCTGTGGGTGCCCAGAGCAGAAGCCCATCCCGCGGAGGGGAGGGCTCCAGGGATAAGGGAGGCCTGACCAAGAGGTCAAATAAGGGGGGGCGAGGGCCTGGGGCCTTCCAGCCCAGCATCTGCCTACAGCAGTGGTTCTCCACCTCCCTGATGCCGGGGCCCTTTAATATAGCTCCTCATGTAGTGGTGACCCCCAACCATAAAATTATTTTCGTTGCTACTTCATAACTGTAATGTTGCTGCTGTTATGAATCGTCATGTAAATATCTGATATGCAGGACGTGTGTTCAGGGGTCGTGACCCACAGGTTGAGAACCGCTGGCCTAGAGGAAGCCCCTCCTCCAGGACCAGGTGGTTGGCCTGGCCTGCCCCATCCCAGCATGTGCCCCAGGCCTCTGGCGGCAGCGATTGACTCAGACGTGGGCACGTGACCTGGCCAGACCAATAAAAGCCCCTTCAGGACCTTTTTCTGGAGTTTTCAGGGAAGCTTCTTCCTGAAATCAGGACCCAAGGACTGGGAAGGTTGAGAGCCTGGGGCAGGGCCCTGCGGGCTGGCGGGCAGTCGGTGCAGGAGGCAGGAGGCGCTGCCGCAGGCCCTGGGGCAAGTGCAGGGCCCTGCAGAGCAGGCCTGCTCCAGGGAGCCCAGCCCACCTCGCCAGCCTGAGGCCAGGAGGGCCGAGTCCTGATAGGATCTCTGAACGCTCCCCAGTGCCCCCACCCTGTAACCAGGCCTGAAAGCCTGGCCTTTGAAGTGAGCAACTTGAGTTTCTGTTACCCTCAGAGAGCCCAGAACGATACAAGCGATCAGACATCCGCCCGGTGCAGAACCGGGACCCACGCAGAGGCTACAGCATCTTCCCTCCCCGAGGAAGGCTTGGCGGCCACAGCTGTCTTCCGGGTGAAGCTGCCCGGGTCTGCTCTCAGCTCGTGAATCCGCCCGAGCATCCCAGCAGATGAACAGCTGTGCCCGGCCCCCACGCCCTGCGTCAGGAAACAGGCTGCCTCACCCAGCAGCGGGCGAGTGGAGAGGGCAGGCCTCAGCCACAGAGGGTGCAGCCCGGCTCCCTGCACCCCTCGGGGCTGGGAGGCCGGGGGAGAAGCTGCCCCAATGCCTGATTGTACACGTAGCGTTCAGAGTGGTTCATTATGCAGCTTGTTCAGATATCTTTAGTGTTATTTTTTATTTTATTGATATTTTTCTTTTTGGGGACAGAGAGGGAAACATCAATTTGTTGCTCTACTTACGTAGGCATCATTGGTTGGTTTTGGTATGTGCCCACAACCTTGGCGTATCGGGACGATGCTCTAACCAACTGAGCTACCTGGCCAGGGAATTCTTGTTGTTAATCCTCACCAGAGGACATTTTTCCATTGCTTTTTAAAGAGTGGGAGGGTGGAAGCTGTGGGAGAAGGGGGGAAGGAGAGAGAGAGAAAAAAGCATCGGTGGGAGAGAGAGACATCGAC